GACCAGGATGGTCTCGATCTCCTGACCTCGTGATCCACCCGCCTCTGCCTCCCAAAGTGCTGGGATTACAGGCTTGAGCCACCGCGCCCGGCCCACTTCCATCTTTTGAGTGTACAAGCCAAATGTGTACCATGGGAACTATCTGAAAGGCCAAAACATGCTGCATAAACAGGTACTTCCCAAAACATTGTCTCTCTTTCTCCATATGATTACCTCGTTGTATAACAAAAAAACTTCATCTGAATAACTCTTAGGCAGCTATTAGAACTGTTGTATTTTGATAAAGGTGTCTTGAGACTAAGGTCATACTTCCTGTGGGTCTGAAATGGACTCTCTCCTGAAAGGATGGATATTCAATGTCAGTCATTTAGGAGAAAAGAGTGATCTTTAGATGGGAAACAAGAAACCTAAGCCTGGAAAGCAATTTGACTCCAGCAGGAGAGGAAACACTTCTTTCCATATCTACACTCTGAAGACAGTGGATACATTTGTCAGTTAGTCTCTTTCAGTTAGTTATAAGTAGCAGAAAACATCTCAAACTGGCTTAAATAATGAGGAGGATTCTGTGGCTCATGGAACTGGAGGATCAGAAGTATTGTGGGTGTTATGGTTTGAATGATTATGTCTCCTCAAAACTCTTATGTTGGAGTACTATATTAGTCCATTTTCACACTGCTATAAAGATATTACCTGAGACTGGTAATGTATAAACAAAAGAGGTTTAATTGACTCACAGTTGCACAGGGCTAGGAAGGCCTTAGGAAACTTACAATCGTGGTAGAAGGCGAAGGGGCAGCAGATACCTTCTTCACAAGACGGCAGGAGAGAGAGTGCCTGCAGGGGAAACTGCCATTTTTGAAACCATCAGGTCTTGTGAGAACTCCCTCACTAGCACAAGAACAGAATGGCGAAAACTGCCCCCATGATCCAATCACCTCCCACCAGGTACCTCGCTCAACACGTGAGGATTACAATCTCCTGTGGAGATGAGAATCAGATGGGGACACAGAGCCAAACCATTTCAGGTACAAAAAAATAGAAAGAATGTATAATGGCCTAGTATTTGGTAGAACAACAGGGTGACTATAGTCAATAATAATTTAATTGTACTTTTTTTTTTTTTTTTTTTTTGAGACGGAGTTTCGCTCTTGTTACCCAGGTTGGAGTGCAATGGCGCGATCTCGGCTCACCACAACCTCCGCCTCCTGGGTTCAGGCAATTCTCCTGCCTCAGCCTCCCGAGTAGCTGGGACGACAGGCGTGCGCCACCATGCCCAGCTAATTTTTGTATTTTTAGTAGAGACGGGGTTTCACCATGTTGACCGGGATGGTCTCGATCTCTTGACCTCGTGATCCACCCGCCTCGGCCTCCCAAAGTGCTGGGATTACAGGCTTGAGCCACCGCGCCCGGCCTTAATTGTACATTTTTTAACGAAAAGAGTATAGTTCGATTGTAATACAAAGAATAAATGCTTGAGGGTATGGATACTTCATTTTCCATTATGTGATTACTAGTTATTGCATGCCTATATCAAAGTATCTCATGTACTTCATTAGTTAAATACACCAACTACATACCTGCACAATTTTTTAAGAAATAAAAAATAAAAATAAATAATTCCCATGATGAAATTCTAACCCCCAAGGTGATGGTATTAGGAGGTGATTAGGTCATAAGGATGATACCCTCATGAATGGGATTAGTGCCCTTATAAAAGAGGCTCCAGGGCGCGGTGGCTCACATCTATAATCCCAGCACTTTGGGAGGCCGAGGTCGGGGGATTACGAGGTCAGGAGATCAAGACTATCTGGGCCAACATGACAAAATCCTGTCTCGACTAAAAATACAAAAAAATTAGCTGGGCGTGGCAGCACAGGCCTATAGTCCAAGCTACTTGGGAGGCTGAGACAGGAGAATTGCTTGAACCCAGGAGGTGGAGATTGTAGTGAGCCCAGAATGCACCACCACACTACAGCCTGGGTGACAGTGTGAGACTCGGTCTCAAAAAAAAAAAAAAAGAGGCTCCAGGCATGGTGGCTCATGCCTGTAATCCTAGCACTTTGGGAGGCCAAAGTGGGTAGAGCATTTGAGGTCAGGAGTTTGAGACCAGTCTGGCCAATATGGTAAAGCCCCGTCTGTACTAAAAATGTAAAAATTAGCCAAGCGTGGTGGCGGGCACCTGTAATCTCAGCTACTTGGGAGATTGAGGCAGGAGAATTACTTGACCCAGAAGGCAGAGGATGCAGTGAGCCAAGATCACGCCATTGCCCTCCAGCCTGGGTGACAGTGCAAGACTTCACCTCAAAAAAAAAAAAAAAAAAAAAAAGAAAAGAAAAAAGTATCAGGACACAGTGACAGGTACCTATAATCCCAGCTACTCAGGAGGCTGAGGCAGGAGAATCACTTGAACCTGGGGGTCGCAGATTTCAGTGAGTTGAGTGGTGCTACTTCACTCCAGCCTGGGCGAAAAAGCAAAACTCATCTCAAATAAATAAAAAGACTCCAGAGAGACCCTCATCCCTTACACTATGTGAGGTTACAGTAAAAAGATGGCTACCTATGAAGTAGGAAGTAGGCCTGCACCTGACACTGAATATGCCAGCATCTTGACCTTGGACTTTCCAGCCTCCAGAATGGCAAGAAATAAATTTCTCTTGTTTATAAGCTACCCAGTTTATGGTACTTTGTTACAGTGGACCAAATGGACTGAGACAATGGACTTCAAGGCAGCATGACCCATGGGCTCACCAATGTCATCTCATCTTTCATCTCTGCTGTGTTGTCCACAGAAATGTTTCTTCCTACAGCTGCCTCCTGTTCCGATTGCCAGAAGTTGGATCTACAGCCTTCCCTGACTGATCCAGCAGAGTTGTCCACTGACTGGACTACCCACGAACCAATTCCTAAACCTGGCTAAATGCCAGGCAGTGATTGGTTTAGGTTACCTAAACCATCTCTGATGCCTGATGTCAAGTTTCGTCTTCTAAGTATCTTATAATGCCCCTTAGTTATCTTGAAATGGAATTCCTGGAAAATATAACCTACCTATGCATATAATTTTTTAAATCTAAGTATTCTAATACCCGAAGTATAAGAGAAGTAGAAAATAAATAATTTACAATTCAGGCAGGATTACACTAGAGGACATAATGACGGAGTCAAATTCTTGTATCTACTTGAATAAGTTTGGGTTTAAGGGAAGTAAGAAATCAGAGGTAAGGGAAGGCTGGGCATGGTGGTTCATGCCTATAATCCCAACATTTTGGGACACAGAGGAGGGAGGATCATTTGAGGCCAGGAGTTTGAGACCAGTCTGGGCAACATTGTGGGATCCTGTCTGTACAAAAAAAATTTTTTTGGCCAGGCGTGGTGGCTCACACCTGTAATCCCAGCACTTTGGGAGGCCAAGGCAGGCGGATTACCTGAGGTCAGGAGTTCAAGACCAACCTGGCCAACATGGCTAAACCCCATCTCTACTAAAAATACAAAAACTAGCCAGGTGTGGTGGCAGGTGCCTGTAATCCCAGGCAGTTGGGAGGTCAAGGCAGGAGAATCACTTGAACCCAGGAGGCAGAAGTTGCAGTGAGCCAAAATCCAACAACTCCACTCCAGCCTGGGCAACAGAGTGAAACTCTGTTTCAAAAAAAAAAAAAAAAAGAAAAATTGTTTTTAATTAGCTGGGTATGGTAGCTCAACCCTGTAGTCCATCCCAGCTACTCAAGAGGCTGAAATGAGAGGATCACTTGAGCCCAGGAGTTTAAGACTAGTATGGGAAACATTGTGGAACCCTATCTCCACAAAAAAAAAAAAAAAAAAAAAAAAAAAAATTTTTTTAATTTATTTCTTTTAATGACAGGGTTTCACCATGTTTGTCAGGCTGGTCTTGAACTCCCGACTTCAGGCGATCTGCCCACCTTGGCCTCCAAAGTGCTTGGATTACAGGCGTGAGCCACCACACCTGGCCCCCCCCAATTTTTTTTAATTAGCTGGGCATGGTGGCCCAAGCCTGTAGTCCCAGCTACTGGGGAGGCTGAGGTCCGGGGATCACTTGAACCTGGGAGGTGGAGTCTTCAGTAAGCCATAATTGCGCCATTGCACTCCAGCCTGGGTGACAGAGTGAGAACTTGTTTAAAAAAAAAAAAAGTACAGAAAAAATGAAAGTACTGAGATACAGGTGGAAACATAGTTTTAGAATAGTAATGACACAACAGACCTTTATGATTTAATAAAATAAAACTTCAGGGCTGGGCGCGGTGGCTCACGCCTGTAATCCCAGCACTTTGGGAGGCCAAGGCTGGCAGATCATGAGGTCAAGAGATCGAGACCACCCTGACCAACATGGTGAAACCCTGACTCTGCTAAAAAATACAAAAAAATTAGCCAGGCATGGCGGTGCTGCCTGTAGTCCCAGCTACTCGGGAGACTGAGGCAGGAGAATTGCTTGAAACCGGAAAACGGAAGTTGCAGTGAGCTGCGATCGTGCCATTGCACTCCAGCCTGGCGATAGAGAGAGACTCTGTCTCAAAAAAAAAAAAAAAAAAGAAAAGAAAATTTCATTTAAATAGACATACATATGGGGAAAATGGGAAGTATGATACCCTCTCAAATGAATCAGGCCTTTTTTCGAGACAAGGTCTCACTATATTGCCCAGGCTGGTCTCAAACTCCTAGGCTCAAGAGATCTTTCCACCTTGGCCTCCCAAAGTGCTGAGTGTACAAGCATGAGCCACTGTGTCTGGTTGATTACTTTTTTTTTTTTTTTTTCTAAAGTAGCTTTAATATCACACAAGCGGCTCTTTGGTTTATAGTGAGAAAACAGAGGGAGCCAAGAAAGGCTCCCTGCTGGCCGCTGGACTCCAGGAGGCTCGGGAAGGCTGAACGCCAGCCCTGACCAGCAGCTTAGTTGTCCTGAGAAGAGCCGATGAGGCCACCCCATCCACTTCACCAGGTTTCCCAGGGATGTTACAGGCATCTCTGGGTCCCAGAGCACAGCGCCAGGGAAAACATCCCCAATCCTCTTCTGAAGAGGGCTGAGGGGACATTCCCTGGCAGGCCAGCACCCAAGTGGTCCTGAGGCCTGGGAGGCGGGCGGGGGCAGCACAGGAAAGGCTCAGTCCACAGGGTCATCTCTAAGGACGGTGAGGATACGTGCGCCTCCCTCACAGAGCAGGCTGTGCGCAGCCCGGCAAAAGGTCAGCCAGGGTGGCCCCTGCAGCTGTGTGGCCCTTACCACAGGGAGGAGTTCAGTCATCAGGACCTTTTCCAAGTGGATCTGCTGGTCCAGCATGGCCACTCGAAGCCTAAAGGCTGCCAGGGTCTGCAGCTCCTGGGCGCTGGAGTAGACAAGCAGCTGGGGGCTCCATGCAGGATCTGCTCCACCCCCACAGGATGGCGAGGCTCTGGGGGGCCTCCCCATAGGACATGGTCTTGGTGGCTGTTCTGCTACCGCTGCACGCAGTTCCTGTAGCCTGTGCAGACACTGGCCCACCGTGGCCAGCCCCTCCAGCGTGAGCAGGCAGCGGTACTCTTGCATCCAGTCCATGGGGGCTGCTGAGAGCTCCTCCCTCATGCGCAGTCTCAGCAGCGTGCAGGCCTTCCAAAGGCGCCCTGTCTCCGCCTCCACCCCCTGAACGCTGAGCCTGGGCTGGGGCCCACCTGAAGCTGTCTGCATGTTCTGGAGGAACTGGGTTTTGGCAGCAGTGGCATCTGTGGAATCACTGGTCTGCATGGAACTGAGCTGGGCCCACAGGCTGGCGTTCTGGGAAGCCACCTTCCTGAATGCCGCAGGCAGCCGCAGCAGGTGCCCCTTCTCTTTGAGTGTGAAGGCTTTCGGGGCCTTAGGAGCAGCTGATGGAGCCATTTGCTGGTCCCTGAGGCCCGGTCCAGGCCTGGGGGCCCGAGCTCCTGTCCTGACACGAGTCTTATCCCCCAGTGACAGCAGCTGGCGCTCAGAGTGGCCCTTGGGAGGCACCGTGGTCTGGTAGGAGCCTTTGGTGGGTCTCGTGTCTGAAGCATGGCCACCAGCTTGGCCTGGGGTCTGGGGTGGGGCAAAGGCTATCGCGCCAGGAGGAGCGACAGTGGACCTAGATTTCAGGCTGGGGGCCTTGTCTGTTTCTCCAGCCATAGTGATGCCTCTTCGAACCCGTACAGCCTTCTCCAGTGCCTGGGTCAGAAATTCCAGCTCTTTGAGGTCTTGTGGACTGGGTGCGCATGCTGGAGACGGGTCCTCTTCATTAGTTTCTGGCCCTGGAGGTGGCTCCGAAGCCCGGGTCTCGGTTGGTTCCCAGGTCTGCAGCAGCCGACGACAGACGCGCAGGCTCTGCTCCAGCTGCAGCTGTTGCTCTGCGCAGGCGTCCAGGGCGCCCTGCAGCTCGGCCACCAGCCTCCGCGAGCAGTCCCGGGGCAGCATGAAGACTTTTTGTTTTTTTTTTTTTTTTTTGAGACGGAGTTTCGCTGTTGTTACCTAGACTGGAGTGTAATGGCACGATCTCGGCTCACCGCAACCTCCACCTCCTGGGTTCAAGCAATTCTCCTGCCTCAGCTTCCCGAGTAGCTGGGACTACAGGCAGGCACCACCATGCCCAGCTAATTTTTGTATTTTTAGTAGAGACAGGGTTTTACCTTGTTGACCAGCATGGTCTGGATCTCTTGACCTTGTGATCCACCCGCCTCGGCCTCCCAAAGTGCTGGGATTATAGGCGTGGGCCACCGCGCCTGGCCTGATTGAGCACTTTTTTTTTTTTTTTTGAGGTGGAGTTTTGCTCTAGTTACCCAGGCTGGAGTGCAATGGCGCGATCTCAGCTCACCGCAACCTCCGCCTCCCGGGTTCAGGCAATTCTCCTGCCTCAGCCTCCTGAGTAGCTGAGATTACAGGCACGCGCCACCATGTCCAGCTGATATTTTGTATTTTTAGTACAGACGGGGTTTCACCATGTTGACCAGGATGGTCTCGATCTCTTGACCTCGTGATTCACCCGCCTCGGCCTTCTAAAGTGCTGGGATTACAGGCGTGAGCCACCGCGCCCAGCCCGATTGAGCACTTTTTATAAGCATCATGTTAAAATAATCATGTATGTTATAATACAGGAAAAGGTGGTGTTGAAATATCACACGTATTCCATGTCAGGGATACATTCAGAGACCAGTGTTTAAAAGGCTGATGTGGATGGCTGGGCACGGCAGCTCATGCCTGTAATCCCAACACTTTGGGAGGTCAAGGCATGCAGATCACTTGAGGTCAGAAGTTCAAGACCAGCCTGGCCAATGTGGTGAAACCTTGTCTCTAATAAAAATAGAAAAATTAGGCAGGGAGTGGTGGCTCACACCTGTAATCCTGGCACTTTGGGAGGCCACGGCAGGTGGAGCATGAGGTCAAGAGATTGAGCCCATCCTGGCATGGCCAATGTGTTGAAACTCCATCTCTACTAAAAATACAAAAATTAGCTGGGTGTGGTGGTGTGCACCTGCAGTCCCAGCTACTCGGGAGGCTGAGGCAGGAGAATCACTTGAACCTAGGAGGCAGAAGTTGCAGTGAGCCGAGATCACGCCACTGCACTCCAACCCCGCGACACAGCAAGACTCCGTCTCAAAAAAAAAAAAAATTAGCCAGGGGTGGTGGCAGACGCCTGTAATCACAGTTATTCAGGAGGCTGAGGCAAGAGAATCATCTGAATCCAGGAGTCAGAGGTTGCAGTGAGCCGAGATCACGCCATCGCACTCCAGCCTGGGTGGCAAGAGTGAAACTCTGTCTCAAAATTAATAATTAAAGTAAAAAGGCTGATATGGAGACAAATACTTCAATGGGTGGCAGGGAACAGAGGATGAGTCAGCAAAAGATACAGTAGTATGAGAAGTCATACAGATGTTATGTAGAAGGCAGCTGGGGACAGTATAAGGTAAGATGAAAAGACAATAAGTGACTCCAAAATTAATAAATCATTTCAGGCCAGGTCGTGGCCTGTAATGCCAGCACTTTGGGAGGCTGAGGTAGGAGGACTGCTCGAGCCCAGGCATTCAAGACCAACCTTGGCAACATAGAGAGATCCCATCTCTACTTTTTTTTCGAGATGAAGTCTTGTTCTGTCGTCCAGGCTAGAGTACCATGGTGCAGTCTCAGCTTACTGCAACCTCTGCCTCCCAGGTTCAAGTGATTTTCCTGCTTCAGCCTCTTGATTAGCTGGGACTACAGGTGCACTCCTCCATGCCCAGCTCATTTTTATTTTAAGTAGAGATAGGGTTTCACCATGTTGGCCAGGGTGGTGTCAAACTCCTAACTTCAGGTGATCCGCCTGCCTTGGCCTCCCACAGTGCTGGGATTACAGGTGTTAGCCACTGTGCCTGGCCAAAAATTTTTTAAAATTAGCCAGGCACGGTGGTGCATGACTGTGGTCCCAGCTACTGAGGAGGCTGAGGTGGGAGGATCACTTCAGCCTGGGAGGTCAAGTAAGCGATGATCATGCCACTGCACTCCAGCCTGGGTGACCGGACAAAACTTCATCTCAAAAAAAAAAAAAAAAAATCATTTCAACATGTAATTTTTACAATACAGACTATTACTGGAAAGGTATACTAGAAAGGTAGCACATATGAAATATTTTTAAAACAATGCATTATTGATAAAATCGGCCGGGCGTGGCGGCTCACGCCTGTAATCTCAGCACTTTGGGAGGCCGAGGCAGGCGGATCACCTGAGGTCAGGAGTTCAAGACCAGCCTGGCCAACATGCTGAAACGCTGTTTTTTTTTTTTTTTTTTTTTATTTGGTTTTTTTTTGAGACGGAGTTTCACTCATGTTACCCAGGCTGGAGTGCAGTGGCGCGATCTCGGCTCACCGCAACCTCCGCCTCCTGGGTTCAGGCAATTCTCCTGCCTCAGCCTCCTGAGTAGCTGGGATTACAGGCACGCGCCACCATGCCCAGCTAATTTTTTGTATTTTTAGTAGAGACGGGGTTTCACCATGTTGACCAGGATGGTCTCGATCTCTTGACCTCGTGATCCACCCGCCTCGGCCTCCCAAAGTGCTGGGATTACAGGCTTGAGCCACCGCACCCGGCCCGAAACCCTGTCTTTAAAAGAAAAAAAAAAAAAAGATAAAATCAGTGAGATCACTGAGTTCCATGTATGTCTACTGTATTCATTATCTCTAGCTGTTTAGCAAATTATTCCAAAACTTAGCAACTTAAAACATCAAACCTTTACTTATTAGCTCCCACTGTTTCTAACGGTCAGGAGTCTGGGAGCAGCTTAGGTGGGTTTTTCTGGCTTAGGTTCTCTCATGAGCTAGCAGTCAAGCTGTCAGCTAGGGCTGTGGCTTACAGATGGCGCTGGGGCTCTGCTTCCACTAAAGCCACTCACATGGCTGCTGGCTGGAGGCATGTTTCCTGCCCCATAGGCCGCTCCACAGGGCTGGCTCCAAACTGGAAACTGGCTTCACCCAGAGTAAGTGATCCGCGCTGGTGAAAAAGAAGGAAGCTTCTAGCTTCAGAAGCGCCACACCATTACTTCTGCTGTATTCTGTTGGTCACAAAAATGAACCCTGATACAATGAGAGGGCAATACACAAAAACATGAATACCAGAGGTGGGATCATTGGGGGTTATCCTGGAGGCTTGCTGCTGTGCTCACTCATTGAGTAATTTTTGGTTCTAAATTAAAAAGAATCAATTCCAGCACCTTGGGAAGCCAAGGCAGGCAGATCATTTGAGTTCAGGAGTCCGAGACCAGCCTAGGCAACATGGTGAAACCCTGTTTCTACAAAAAAGACAAAAATCCAGCCGGGCACGGTCGGTTGCTCATGCCTCTACTCCCAGCACTTTAGGAGGCCGAGGCGGGAAGATCACTTAAGGTCAGGAGTTCAAGACCAAACTGGCCAACATGGTGAAAACCTGACTCCACTGAAAATACAGAAGCTTAGAAGGGCAACCGAGCATGGTGGCTGACACCTGTAATTCCAGTAATTTAGGAGGCTGAGGTAGGTGGATCACAAGGTCAGGAGTTCGAGACCAGCTTGGCCAATATGGTGAACTGCTGTCTCTACTAAAAATACAAAAATTAGCCAGGTGTGCCCCTGTAGTTCCAGCTACTCAGGAAGCTGAGGCAGCAGCATCGCTTCATCCCAGGAGGTGGAGGGTGCAGTGAGCCAAGTCGTGCCACTGCACTCCCAGTCTGGGCATCAGAGGGAGACTCCAACTCAAAAAAAAAAAAAAAATGACTGGGCGCGGTGGCGCTTTGGGAGGCCGGGGCAGGCAGATCACGAGATCAAGAGGTGGAGATTGAGATCATCCTGACCAACACGGTGAAACCCCATCTATACTAAAAATACAAAAACTAGCTGGGCATGGTGGTGCGCGCCTGTAGTCCCAGCTACTCGGGAGGCTGAGGCAGGAGAATTGCTTGAACCTGGGAGACACAGGTTGCAGTGAGCTGTAACTGCACCACTTCACTCCAGCCTGGCACAGAGCGAGACTCCAGCTCAAGGAAAAAAAAATTAGAAGGGCATGGTGGCGCACATCTGTAATCACAGCTGCTTGGGAGGCTGAGGCTGGAGAATCACTTGAAGCCAGGAGGCAAATGTTGCAGTGAGCCGAGATATTTTAATGAGACAGGGTCTCTCTCTGTCACCCAAGCTGGAGTCCAGTGGCATGATCACAGCTCACTGTAGCCTCAACCTTCTGGGCTCAAGTAACTCTCCCACCTCAGCCTCCCAAGTAGCTGGGACTACAGACTTGTGCCATCACGCCTGGCTAATTTTTGTAGAGATGGGGTTTCACCACATTGCCCAGGTTGGTCTCAAACTCCTTGGCTCAAGGAATCCTCCCCACTTGACTTCCCAAAGTGTTGTGTTGGGATTACAGGCGTGAGCCACTGTACCTGGCCCAGGTTAGAGTGCAATGGCACAACCTCAGCTCACTGCAACCTCTGCCTTCTGGGTTCAAATGATTCTCCTACCTCAGCCTCCCAAGTAGCTGAGATTACAGGCACCTGCCAGCACACCCAGCTAATTTTCGTATTTTTAGTAGAGACGGGGTTTCACCATGTTGGCCAGGCTGGTCTCAAACTCCTGACCTCGTGATCTGTCTGCCTCAGCCTCCCAAAGCGCTGGGATTACAGTTGTGAGCCTCTGCATCCAGCTGGCCTGTCATCTTTCGAATGGCTCATACTAACAGTAGCATGCATCATTCATCTGGGAAAAATGTGATCCCTCGCAAGAAGCCAGACCTTTTAAGTTGGTCTGGGGAGGAAAGAAAATCCCTAATTTTCATAAATGTGCTCAGGAATGGGCACGTGACCTGGGTTCTGCCAATGAGATTTGTCCTTGGGAGACGAGGTTTCAGAATGACTGAAGGGAGGCAATGTGTTGGTTCATCATAGAGCTTCTACTTTACTGGTACAGGAAGGTGGTGGCAGCTCA